ACCCCCCCCCCCCCATTGCTGTCACGGCCTATCAGGCATAACGAGTAATATATTCACAATTAGCAAGTTAAATAACCCCTCTGGACGAAGTTTGGGCAATTCTGAAGTTTCCAGACACTGGGCCACTTGACTGAAATGGTCACTTTCGAGCATGAATAATCTTGTACAGAGCACAACTCCTTTGCCCACCTCAGAAATCTCTTTTCAAAAAGCCTCCAAACTGTGGGATTAAAAGACAACCAAAATCTTGTTTCCATTTTTCGATTTTGAAGGGTGTTATTTCACCAAATGTTACTCAAAGCAAAGGCATATCAGGCCCGAATCACTTCGAAATCTGCGAACTCTAAGCGATCGAATAATTTAAATACTACTAGTCAAAAATGTTATTCTGGCATAGTAAGTGGGATGTGGCATAACCCCAAAAGCTGTGGCTGCCACACCTTTTTTAAGGTTGTTCCACACCTCACTTACTTACCTTTAAAGGAGTGTTTCAAGCCTGATACGTTTTTTTAGCTCTGAGAATAACAGGTGAAAGCATAGCATTCAAAAGCCACAAATGAAAAAAATTAGATTTTGGTTGGCATCTAATTCCACAGTTTGGAGGTCTTTTGAAGAGAGATTTCTGAGATGGGCAAAAAAGTTGTGCTCTGTACAAGATTATTCATGCTCGAAAATGACCAGTTCGCACAGGTGGCCCAGCGTCTGGAAACTTCAGAATTCGCCCAAACTTCGTTCACGTTATTTTACATGCTAATTATGAATATACGTTATGTTTGGTAGGGCCTCTTTATTATGCTACGGTGGGTAGATATATAGATATATGATGGTGAGTCAAGATTCATGTGATTGTATTTCGCACAATAGGGTTATCTGGCAAACTGCTATATGCAATTTTCTGCATCAGCAAAATTGCTATTTAATTTGTCTTTTGCTTACCGTAATTGCGTGGTTTAAAGGCAGCACTCGTGCAGAATCGGCTTATCATATTGTTAGATATTGTAAATTTGAATAGGTTTTACTTCAATTAAAGATCACTAGGTTCTCGGAATGCGACTTCTGGAACTACGGCTGCTTCCTCGAAAGCAGCGTCCACTCAAAATGGTGAGTGCCGGAATTTTACAGTGTTGCGATGGTAAACCCTCCAACTAATCTATTAGTGAAGTTTAGAGCGAAAAAGCGCTTTTGGAAAGCCCAAAATTCGCTCTGGAAGTCTTACGGATGCCGCCCATTTCCAGACTCCGCCCACTTCTTACACGTAATTTGGAGCGAACGCAGACACGGAGAGCTTTGGAAAAAGCTCATTTTCGCCGTTTACAAGCGATGAAAAGCTCAGATATGTCTTTAGCATGGCGAGAAGGTTGCGGTGGTGTGAAAAGGAGCGGAATTTTGCCGAAGCGCTGCCTTTAAGGCTGGATCCATATTGATCCCGAAATTCTGGAACTTTTCATGAAACAGCTTAATTAGCGCGAGATTTGCTCCGGTAGAAAGAGGGAGTCATGTTCTAGGATACAGCCTTTTTCAGATTTCATGGCACAGTTTTAGATTTTTTAACGGGCTTGCCTCAAAATTTCGAAAATGAAGTAATTTCCTTGTCACAATTTTATCTCTGCAACCAAAGCTTAGTAAAGAGCAGGCAAGGTGTTATTATACGCTTTGCTATTCCTAATATTATTTTTGTTATTTAGAATGTGGTAAAAGAAAAAGTTACGATTTTTCGAAAGTGGTGCGAACGGACTTTCGGTTCAACCTAATATTAGATTGATGTAAAAGTTCTGTCGCTCCGAGATTTTGAAAAACTCGTGACTGCTCCCTATGTGAACTATTGATTTACGGAAAGTATCGCTGGATAGAAAAATTTCTCTATTTTCTAATAACATCTCTGAGGCTCATTGACAACGAGAGATTCCAGAGATAAAAAGTCGAAAACGAGAACTACTCAAATTCGTGTCTTTTCGAAAATAAATTGTCAAAAATCTCAAACGCTGCAGAAAAATCTGAGAGCATGTTTTTAAGAGATTTTGTGAACTGCTTTTTAGTGGCGTTTTTTTTACGAAAACTTATGATTTTCGTGAAATGCAGAAAAATAAGATAAAAACGTCATTTTGCCGTTTTTCGCATTTTTCACGAAAATCATAACTTTTCGTAGAAAAGCACAATCAGCACAATTTCAGCAACACTAGAAAGGTGGGGGGGGGGTTAGGTACCCAGCCGAGGTGAGGGCGTTAGATACCCAGTCATTAGTGGTATACACTAAGCCAGGCCACTTGGTTGTTTTAATAGCGGTACCCAACGATAAACCTGAATCCTAGCTGTTACAGCAACTCGCCTAGCTCGCTAAAGCGCTGGCGCTTGCTACTAGTCAGCAAAAAAGAGAAAAATAAAGACTTCTTTTCATGTAAGCAGGAGTAGTAATACTGGAAAGTACTGACCTACTAAATCACCAACTTGATCGTTGTATTGATAAACAACCAAAAACAAAATATTGCAACTGATATTCGTCCTCTTTTCTTGCAGCCAAAATATGATCAATTTATACAACCAAAGCCATGAATTCTTCAGAGTATGCTGCTTTCTCCTGTTTCATTGTATTGGCACACGCTCATCCGTAATTGGCATAGCTCTAAAGTGCAAAATTTTCTGATTGGAACATAAAGTAAAGTGTGTAGCTCCGATTCCTGATGAAAATTTCTTGTCGAAGCTCTTTTTCCAATCGGTTCTACTTCTCATTGCCAAAATTATATTTGAAGCTGTTTTTTAAATAGAGGAGTATTAGAGGAGTATTACGGCGCAGTTTATTCGTTAGAAGCATCTCCGTAAATGCGCTTTGCTTTATCAAAATCATGAAACCTTGGTTTATTAAATTTCTACAAAGTTCCCTTTTATTGAAATTCCCGCTGGCATTATCGGTTATATCAAATTACTGCAATTTCTTTATGCAAAATTATGTGAAGTGCTCTAAAAGCTTTAACCTGTTTTTAACTTTCATCGTCAAATTTCCGTGAATCTAAGATTGATAAAAAAGAAGCAATAGAAAACACACCGCGTGCAAACTTGCGCTTTCATTTGCGCACTTCTTTTGAATCTCTCAAACCATCTTTTTTTGTGGGTCGCAAGTTCCCGCGCTTTGGAGAGCTAGGTGACCTGCTCTAGCAGATAGGATTTAGTGTATCTTTGGTACTTATTGTTAAAGGCAGTAGGTCGGCAGAATGAGACCCCTGGCAAAACAAGATCACAGGGTAGGAGCCCCATAATGGAACCTATGAACCAAAGTTCGATCTTTCTCTGCCACTTCTAACCCCCGAAATTTTGAGGCGAAAGCAGCGCTCACCTCCTCTCCTCTCCGACCCCGCCCACCCCACGGACGAGTGAACGCGAAGCCCGTCCTCAGACATTCGCAGTTAAGTCCCGCCGGTGAAAAAGTTGTGTCCCGCCGGAATGATTGCGGGACACAAGTAAAATGATTCGCGAGAAAACTGGGATTTCCGGTTTTCGTTCGGGCTAATGCTGCGCGACACGCGGTTTTGTCCCGACATGTTTTCTACTGAGAAAACCGGGAGCTCCTGCGGGAGTCCCGATAATGTCTCGCGATCCGGTCACCGGCGGGACTCCCCCTCTAGGCTGCAGTCTCCTGCGGGAGACGCGATGTAGTAGCAATCCGATCAGCTTCCGGCCGGGATTTTTTTCAAATAGGTTCTCCTTCAAAAATTTGTACTACACACATCTTACAAGGTGCTGTGCTTGACACGAGTTCAGAAACACTCTTCATTAGCATTCGTGAACAAAAAACATTGAAATCACTATAACTAAGTAAACAGAAAAAGAGGAATGTCAAGATCAAGATTTGAGTCTGAATCCATAATTCAAATCGACTTCACACTTTCGATGTCTTCGTCTTGCTCCTCCGGCTCATTCGCGTGCTCGTGCGCCAAAGAATCTTGCGTTGTAGTGGGGCAAAAACGTTTTTCTGGAAAAGAGTAACAATCTAACACTGATTTGAGAAATCATATATGAATATTACCGAGGGTGGCGACAGCGTCTCCCTGTCAGCATCAAAATGGTAGGCTCGCACATCTCCTCTGAAATTCAAATTCAATAGATTTATGAAGACTATCTTTGAAAGAAACCCACAAATTTCTTCCTATAGCCACTCATGCTAATCCATTAAAATTCATCCTAGCCTCTGACAACTTGTCAAACATCTTCGTCCTAGCCTCATCGTCGTTCCCTAGGCCCAGCCAAAATCTAAATCAATGAGATATCAAGGGGTAGAAACACTTCTATCTACAATCAACGTCAACAAAGTGCTCCCTTTTGCGCAGCAGCTACGCGTCCGCACCACAAGAGCCTAGCGCGGCGTCCTCAATCGACGAGGCGAGTTTTGGATGCGCGGCTATACGTGCGCGAACGCGACGCGAGCTCTCGAGTTGCGATTTGGCTGGTGGAAAAGGGAACACAAGGTTGACACGAACTGTATACCTATTTCTTTTCCGCGCGCATTCGGTAGCACTCAGCAGCAGTTCTTCTGCGTAAAGGCCAACACCATCAAGAACGAAATTTGGAAGATCTGTTTTAAAATTTATAGAAAGACCATCAATCACTCACTTATCAAAAATGTAACCAGACTTTCGGGCAAATCGTGCAGATGGGGAAAACTTCTTTTTTTACCGGATTGTCTGCATGCAAACTTTTGAATTTCTTGTTTTGGCTCGCATGCCTAAGTGCGCCCCTCTCGATCAGGATAGACTCGAAATTTTAGTTTCACTTACATGCAAAAAAATAGACCTATAAACATTAAAAGCACACTTACCTTTTGCGATTGTACGTTGTTCGGCAGATGCAATGCAACAAGTTAGGATCCAGCCCCTGAGGTGGTGGTTTGTCGAAAAAGTAGTCTTCAGTCGAATGCTGAACGAATCAAATACAGATTTCTGGAAAAGCATAATAGTAAGACCTACCGTGCTGACATGTTCCTGGTGATAGCGTTTTGGTGGACGTCCTCTTCATCGAACTTCTGAACCGGACGATGATGTATCCTCCAGCTCATGCTGCAAGAATTGCTTTTCTGCTATCGAAAGCATGAAAGAAAAGCTTCTTACCCTTCTTTTGTGCTTTGGAGATGAAGGAAGAGCGGGTCCTCTCCTTGATGGTTCCCAATCCGCAACCGTATTGGACTTGAGAGTTTCTTCTTTTACCTCATTTTTGATATCTTCATCCATTTTCACTTCATCCTTGGCTTCCTAAAAATTAAAACACTGCAGAAATAGTGGAATTAGCCATCTACTGACAGACTCTTATTACATATAGAAGATACGAACAAATCAATAGAAGCTTTTTCCCGACTTTCTGGTTTTGATCATTGTAAGGGCCCGGCTACTTTTGAATGTTGAACTCTCTCCCCCAACAATATTTATTTTAGTAAATTTAATGAACAATTGGAACCAGAGCAATACAACGAGTGCGAGTGATATGAATCTGCCATTTAGATAGAGAGGGAATGAGTAGAAATATGAAGGAAGAAAATAATAAAAATTAGATTAACACCATGAGATTCCGATGTCTTACAAACATAAACTCACATATTTATACTATTCCTTAATGGGATTTCTAGCAATTATCGATGTTCTACATTGGTGTTTTACTTGATAATAAGGTGAGAATTATAGAAAATTCATATCAGAACACTTCCACAATTCCATCTCGACCGGTTCCATCATGCTGCTGATTGCTTCAAACTTGTTACTTCCTAATTTTCATTTTTCACATCATTTCGTGTCTCGTTGAGTGATCTTGGCCTGAAAGCTAATGCAGTTTCAATTGCAGTTGTTATCGTGCAAGTATGAGCGTGTTGCATATGAGAGCATTGAAAAATAAGCATCTTATAGTAATTATCTCTTTACATCATGTTGTAGGCAGAAGCTAGTTCCCTTCCTTGTCACACTTGGTTCTACAGCGAACATAAGCAACGCACCTTTTTAATGTCTATAGGTTTCTCTTCCTTGATCCAATTATCCACTACATTCCGCCAAGGCTAATTTCAGTTGGATTGATCGCTACGGGACGGGGCCGATTGATCTCAGCTGTCTTCGTCGCAGTATGCGCGCGTGAGGCTGAAAGATTTCTCGATTTTTTATCACAGGAAAAGCAGAATAGCAAATGAATAATGATGTGCAATAGAACTACAATTTCTGGACGATACGCGTAGGGAATCATGACTCATATAAGGTTGAGATTTTATAAAGGAAACTAACTCTGATGCGGATGTCGTGCAGTGCGAATTTTCATCACATCATACATTCAAAATGACCCGCGTCACCGACATCGCGACTACCGATTCTCCCGCTCCTTTTCAACTGTCGGGATTGTCCCGACAAAACCGGGAGTCGCGCAAGACTCCCGGTTTTCTCGCGAATTCCCATTTTGTGGGCGGATCTCCGGCGGGACTTAACTGCGAATGTCTGAGTCAAGGCAAGACGCAGAGTCATTGCGGGACCTCATGCTTATAGCATTGCGGCTGCGCACTCTGACCGTGGAAGTCACTCGTCCATGGGGTGGGCGGGTTCGAAGAGGACAGGAGATGGGCGCTGCTTTCGCTTTGAAATTTCGGATGTTAGAAGTGGCAGAGAAAGGTCAAACCTTGGCCCATAGGTTCCATTATGGGGCTCCTACCCTGTGGCCTTGTTTTGCCACGGGACTCATTCTGTCGACCCACTACCTTTAAAGCAACCAAGAAGGCGTGGCTTAGTGTATACCACTAGTGACTGGATATTTAACGCCACGCACCCCACTAAAAAGAGCAGCTCACAAATATTTTTGAAGACCATGCTCCCAGATTCTTCTGCAGTGTTGGAGATTTTTGGCAATTTATTTTAGAAAATCACGAGTTTGAGTGCTTCTCCTACTCAAATTTTTATCTCTGGAGTCTTTTGTGACCAAAGAGCAGCGGAGGCGTGATTAATAGTAAATAATTTTTCTACCTGATGGTATTTTTTGTGAGTCAATACGTTTACAGAAGGTGCAGTCACAAATTTTTCAAACTCAAAGCGACAGAACTTCTGAATTAACCTAATACATAAAGCAGAAAATCTGTGTATCTGTCTGTCTGTGTACATTTCCCATAATCATGAAGGATGAGCGGTAAAGCTCATTGATCTGCTGGTCATCAAGATACGGTAGGAAACAAATCCAAGATGAGTCGAAATTAAAAGAAGGGTTTTCGCCACCTTAGATATTGAGCACGATGAAATGGCTCCAGAAGGAGGTGGAACCGGGGTGCCACTCGTCCTTGAAACAGCTTTGTAGTGATATAATTTGAAACCTCGAAGAAAGTTGCCAAAACGCAGCATGCTCAAGGATTAGATTACCTACTAATTATATAATGAGTGAGGGTGTAACGGGCTAATTCAGACGCATACATTCTCGCGCAAAAAGAATGCCCTAATTTCTGCTTTTTTTCTTTCAGAAAGAAAGTTGCTTCTTTCAAAAAGAAAGTCTAGCTTCAAAGTAAATAATACCGTTTTCTTACATACCACTAACAGAAGTGAGCGTAAGCTCGTTTACGTGCGTAGATTGTGCAATCGCCTTTTACTAAAAATTTTGTACGTTACGGAAGGGCTCCAACGACTACCTAAATTTGCGATGAGATCGGTTTGGTTATTTTTGGAAATTTTCTGATAAAAGCACTATGAAGTTTGAAACTTGTAATCGTTCTTTCTTGAAATTAATTCGCATCGTTAATTAGGGCAGAGTGAAAGAAAGGAATTTTAGGATCTAGTTTTGGGTGTAGGGCGATTCGCACTACCGTGATGCTTTCCACACAGGACCACCGCCGCGTGCGACACACCCTGCGACGGCTTCCCTAAGCAAAGCCAGGGGAGGGAAGGTTTGCGGCGTGCGAGAGCAGCTACGCGACAGATCGTGTGCTCCCTATGTGACGTGTAAAGGTCCATGGTGTCGACACGTCCAATGTTTTCCGCACGCCAATTGTGCGATGAATTGCGAATGAATTGGATTTTATGGTGCAAATTTTAATGACTGAATTTTATAGTTCGCAATTGTCTTCTAAAATATAATACACGTCGTTGAAGAAAGAAAGAAGGGCATATTGATCTAGAAGATATTAGTGCAGCATGAAATTAAAATATGTCTAGCGAAAATGAGAGATAACTGAAAAATGCTTTTGTAAATATCAACACCAAATGACATGTGCTGGATAATTAATACACAGAAATTTAGAAAACTGAACAGTTTCTAATGTGACTTCGACAAAATATTTGTTAAAAAACATAGAAACTGTGCCCAAAAGATGTCTATGCTCAATAGTACTGATATAAATCGATCAAAGCAGTGACACTATTGATTAAAAAAGTTTCTAGATTCTCTTTGCAAAAGTTAACACACAACTTCTCGGAAAATCAACCAACAACCATGTTCTTGTCGTCCGCAAGTGGCGGTACCCGCTTGATGATAAAAATGTAGAAGGCGGTGGAGATGCACCAAAAACCTAGAAAGATTAAACATCATGTAAATATAGAAAAAGATGGAATTTTCAGAGAGCGAACGTCAATGAGCTAACAGCTGAGATTTGATGCCACTCAGAAGAGTTCGAAAAGCAAAGATGCAAGCAAGCACTAGGGTGGAGATTTACTCATAATCTATAACCGAAAAACCTCAAAGGACTACCCTATGGAAGAAGTCACAAAGTATCACTGAATACGGAGCTTTCTCCCAATAGAGGAGCAGCTCACTAACTTACTTGTACTAATTCGCAGAACCCAAAAATTGCATTTAGATAAGAGAGCACGTGCGAAAGCGGTCTAGCTATGCAGCTCTAACTGTTTGCCGGCAGTTCTAGGGGATAATGGATAGGAAACACGACAAAGAAAGCGATAATGGATTATAAGCGGCAACAAGGAAAGCACGACACTCGATTCAAAAAACCATAGAAAAACTATAGACTGTAAACTAATGAAAAACACAATAGTTAAGCACTCACTAGCTGTGCAACGTCAGTAAATGCACAGTGCGGTACTTCGCGGACGCTAGTTCAGAATTCCACACGCGACATGGCTTCAGCACTGCGTCTTGATAGTACAAGAGCAACTATCTCTAGAAAAACAACGATGAAAAAGGAAAGTGAACTTATAGGACTACTAACATCGGAACAACAATGAAAGCATAAGATTGCAAAAGCCTCACCTTTTCTAGTCTAAATGCTCTGTTCGCCTTCCTCAGGCACCAGTTTTGCGGCATTACAAAACGAAGCCATCGATTTGCTGTGGCCTTCGCAAGCCATCCATGACGACACGAGCCTGAAAAAAAAAACATTGCTTTGTCGAAACCTTAAACTCGATCTAGAACTCACTTATTCAGTCTAATCAGTCTTCTCAGATGGTAGCTGCACAGCACGATTTTCACCACAAACCTTAGCGCGAGCTGCCTAAAGTATACGCAATCGACTTTGAAGGTAGTAAGACACAAAAACATTATTACCTCCATTTCTGGTCGTACATCAAATCGGAAGGGTCTTTGGCCAAAGTTCGCATCCACAACTTCGCCAGGGATTTGGAGGCCAATGGTGGAGTAGAGATCATCGATGTGTTCCACTTCTTGCGAGGCTATGCCTAAAATAGTGCCAATAAACTCACGATGTGTTATCAGCCCCAGAAGAAATGGCAAACGCATAACGCATCAGCGTACAATTCACATGAAGAATACATCATATTTAGTTTGTGAAGATACTCACCCAGATACCGTTCTTGGTGAAGAATCGTTTTGTTACCAAATTCACACCACATCCGACCACATCACCAGTGGTGAATTTCGGGTCATAAGAAACTCAATTCCCAGAAAACGAAAAGAAATTGCCGTCATCGCCGTGGTAACCATATGAAAATCGATTCCATCCTATTATATCACTATTTTGTTTGACAATGAAGATAACTGAGCAGTGGCGAACCTGGCAATCGATTCAAATTCACGAACTTTCCACAGATTCCAACACCCATACATTTTTTCAAACCGCGAACGATGTTTATCTAGAAAGCATCTTGGTGGATTATTGATTCTCTCTATAGGGGAAAAGAAAAAAGTCAACCTCAAAGTAGTAAACACCACATTGTGGAGGAATTGGGTAATCTGCACGTGTCAATGCCGCATTTTTTTGTTGCTGTTTACCATTACCTGTGCGAAAGAGACAATCAGACATGCGTAATAAACTTCGGTATCAAAAAAAAACATAGGCCGTCAAGAAAATTTGTCGATCTTTCATAGGCAAGCTTGCCAAAAAAAAGCAGATAAGATGATTCATTTCACCACTCGAAATCCCAGAAAACGGAACAACGCAAACAAGTGGTTCAAACACCAACCTTTGTAGCTTACTTGTGAGATATTCAAAAAGTGATACTTGTCATTTTTATTCCAAGCTCAGGCAGGCGCTGAACGAAATCGTGAACGGATCAAAACATAAAATATGGTGTAAAATAAAAAAAAAGTGAGCTTCAAACTTATTACTTTACTTAAAACCTACCTTGTAACCTACCACCACTCACAACGAATTGACGTGGGTTCAAGGAATATTATCTCGCCAAGAAAGGCAGACTAGAGGCAGATGACGTAAACTCTGTCCGAGGCTTTACAGGCGAAAAACAGCAAGTAAGTATGATTGGAAATGCGTGCAAATTTCAAATACGGCAAATAAAATGTAAATAGCAAACTTCAAATGTACATGTATATCATTGCACTCACTTGCTGATAGTCCCCTTTTTGCAGAAAATTCACAAAGTTGATAAGTTCGATGACTGAACAAAAGCGGACCGCTCGAGGGTAAAGCACATGGAGCAAACTTTTACTGGTTCCAGATAGAAGCACCACCTGAAAAAGCAAGAGTTCTGAGTTTTACTAATCCTCGGAAAACCGAAAATGAGCTAGATCATTACGCGCACCAAAAAAAAATTGAAATTTGCTAATCAAGACTATAGCACTACACATTTATGTAAGTCGTAATATTTAGCACAGTCAAATTACGACGTGAAATTTACAAAACAAATCACTACAGTAAGGAAGAGAGGAACACTGAAAAAATTACGATACAATTGGCCCATACATTCCCTTCAAAAAGAGATCCATCCTAGCTTTACTCCAATGGCCAACAAAAGCTTTTTCTTGTGCCGCTCATAATCGATCATTGTAAGCATATAGTAACCGAAGATGTCATTGCATTCATCGATTATGGGCGACGGAAGAAAAAAACGAAAAAATTCGACGCGAAATGAGGCAATACACTCAAAATATTGCAAGAAATGAGCGCGCGGCGTCACCTCGCTTCACGCCAGCCGGCACTCACGATATGCGCCAGTCCGGGTTCCTGGCGCACACGGACACCGCACATCGTGTAATTACACGATCTTGCGCACTCATTCATACATCGCGTGCGACTCGGCAGATCGTGTGCTGGTTCAAGATCGTGTAATTGCCAGATCTTGAACCAGCACACGATCCTGAGATTGATACATAGCACCCCAGGGTGGCGCTTGAGAGCGCCCGTGCGAAAAGACCGTCTCCTTCTAGTTTTTCTTGGAAGGCATGTTACTTTGAAATAGGAGTCTAAGAAAGCAAATGCATGCATAAAGAACTAGAACCCGCTTTCAGATGTCCTAGTTCTTGAAGAAATCGGTTCTATTAGGTTGCCCGGAAAACAATGTCGCTGTGCAGTATTTAAATTTCGCAGCGGTATAAACACGAAAAAAGTGAATGGATATCCTTCGATAGTATCTTTATAAGATATAGTCCAAGTATTAACAGCAAATTTGATTTACTCGAAGTTCTAAGCCAAAATTTGTATTTCAAACGCCTAAAATCGAACAAAATCAAATTTATACTTTTAACTTTTTTCTCGTATTCTGGTCATGAAAAAAATGACGTAGAGAGTATACAGGCTATATCATCCACCGTCGCGGGTACCCACGAAATGAGGCAGCCCGCGTTTACCACATGCAACGGAGGTAGTAATTAAGCGCAGAAACTATTCTTTTGCTCAGCCTTTTGAATGCTCCCATTTTCTATTCATCCTTTTTCCTTTTTCTAAACATTCAGTTTCGTTTAGAAGCCTTGTCTTACCTACGTAAGACATTTCTGATGGCACGCTCATCGCATGTTGAGCATTCGATTATAAAAGTATAATTTCTATACAAGCTTAAAAATCGCCATTTATTAGGTTGTCCGGAAATTAATGCCCGTTTTGAATTTCAAACGCAATAAGTCAAACACCTCTCACTCCTAAATAGGATGCAAAATACCATTCGATAGAGCAAAGCAAGCTCTACAAAAAGGCCATCTTGCTTTTGCAACAGCTCTCATCCACCTCGAGTTTCGAGCCAAAAAATAAAAAGACTCGGCAGCCCGAAAAATCGAAAAAAATCGTAACTCAGTTCACAAAAACCCTACAAAAATTCTCACTTGCTCACGTAAACACTATCTACATAAAACATCTATGTACGCCTTTGCCGTATTTTTTCCTCCGTTAGAAACCAAGAAAACGGAAATTTTCGTGCATTTGCCAAAGTGGTGCTGTGCCGTTCCCACATAAGTAGTTGTATACCACAAACCTGTAGAAGTACAGACTTAGATTTTCAGCTCTCTACAAGCTTTATTTCTCGAAAAATACCGAATATAGCTTTCCTTAGATAGATGGTCCACGCTAAAATTCAAATTTCTTGAGAACTAAAGCTTGTAGAGAGTTAGAAATTTACGTTTGCACTTCTACAGGTTTGTAGTATACAACTATCTACGTGAGGACAGCACAACACGACTTTGGCGAATGCACGAAAATTTCCGTTTTCTTGATTTCTAGCAGAGGAAAAAATACGGCAAAGGCGTACATAGATGTTTTATGTAGATAGTGTTTACGTGAGCAAGTAAGAATTTTTGTAGGATTTTTGTGGACTGAGTTACGATTTTTTTCGATTTTTCGGGCTGCTGAGTCTTTCTAGTTTTTGGCTCGAAACTCGAGGTGGGTGAGAACTGTTGCAAATGCAAGATGGCCTTTTTGTAGAGCTTGCTTTGCTCTATCGAATGGTATTTTGCATCCTATTTAGGAGTGAGAGGTGTTTGACTTATTGCGGTTGAAATTCAAAACGGGCATTAATTTCCGGACAACCTAATACTTTGAGAATATGAATTGCAAGCGCTAGGTACACGTGGTGTGCTTAATCACATATGGTGTGCTCATTAATAGAATTTGAGGGAAAACGTGCTCGAGTTATTAAACAACGTGCGCAACCCGCTCTTTTTATATGTAGTCCTATTGTTAGAAAGAAAATGTGATCACAGTGTTATGTACATGAACCGCGATGACACAAATCAAAAATTGACTGGTAGTTAGCGATAGTGAAAAAAAGAGTTGCAAGGGTGCTAATGCAATTAGCATATCGAGATTATAAAAAACATCGTATAAATCGCTCGCAAACAACACCAACTTGAGAATAAAGGTTCAAGACATGCGCGAACATGAAACATTTGAAAAGAAGGCTATTGTGACGCGTGAGCCCACCTCAGCTCATGGGATGCCTCGACCGATGCTGGGTGATATAGTCTATAGTTGGAGTTAATTATTCGAATAATCATATTCGAATAATTCTTTGAGATATTTAAAATTCGAGTTCAAACACGAACGATTAAGAAAAATTCATTTATTCGAATATTGGAATAGTTGGAAAGTTTCGAAAGCAGTTGTTCGAATGTTTCGAGTGTTGCGTTCGAATATGCGAATATTGCATCTGAATATTCACTTATTCATTTATTCGAAAAGTCGAATATTCGATCAAGTTCAATTATTCGAATATTTAAAATCCACTTAAATGGAAATCCGAAATCAAATAGTATTCGTTTATTCGAAAAAATCAGCTGTTTGATATTCATTCGTTCGAAAAAATTTTGAAAATCAATTGTTCGTTTATTCGACGAAAACATCCGCTTGTTACAACACTACAGTGGAGAGAAAGAAAACTTAGACAGAACACGTTGACGCGGCGAAAATGGTTCTTGAAACTGCTGAAAACTCGGCTTCACTACCAAAGATATTGTTTCGGCTTTCAAAATGCAAAGATGGAGTGTAATTGACTTCAACACGATCGCTCAAATCCATCTTTTTGTAGCATTTTTCAAAATGTACGACTTGTTGGCAGAGGTGCGATAGTGTGAGCCAATTCTCCCCACCACCTTCACTTTTGAAATAAAAATTTTTCTCGTTGGACGATAAAGAAGAAAAATAAGCAAAACAAACGCAAAGATTATTGGAGGCATATTTTTATGTATATATGGCGTCATATATACAGGGTGTCCCAAAAAGATGTGCACACTGCTTGATTGTTAATAACTCTCTTGCTTTCACGTTTTTTGCCGGGCTTGAGGTACCATTCTTTAGAGCGAGGCTTAACTTAAATTTACAGTATGGAGCGGATCGTCGATCGCTCTTCATTACTGTAGGATTTCGGTAGGAATTTCGAGGAGGATTTTCAGCAAAGGGAAGCTGTATTTTGCCTCAGAAAAAAGCTAAATAAGCCAGAAACTCTTGAACTGGGTTAATCATAGTCGCTGATTCTAAATATGAAAACTGCACGTTAGTACAATGTTTTTTTCATGAGTTAATTCAGATTTAGGGTAACAACTGATTTTCCAGTGTTGGT